ATCTGCTGGTGGAGAAAATGGTGTGGAAACTGGCGGCAGCACTAGTGGAGCTGCTGGACCCGAGGGAGGAGAGAAGCAGCAGGGAAAAACTAAGAAGCCGAAGGGTGTCGTTATGAAGGGATGGGAGACACCCGTCTCCAGGCCAGGACGTACCCGTATGGCTACTAAGAAGCTGACTGCAGGAACTGATGCAGCAGAGCAGCAGCTAGGGACCGAAGAGGCATTGCTGATTCTACCTCATGGCTATGACCCGGATGAGGAGGATGAGCCTGCGTACTGTTTTCTTGCCCCTGCACCAGAGGAACCAGCTAGCATGGAGGAGGCATTAGCTGGACCAGATAGGGACAAGTGGCTGGCTTCTAGGGATGCTGAGTACCAGAGTCTGCTGGAGAATAGGACATGGGATCTGGTGGTGCTGCCTGATGGGAAGAAAGCGATACAATGCAAGTGGGTGCTGAGGATCAAGACCGATGACAAGGGGCAGGTCACCATCTACAAGAGTAGGCTGGTGGCGAAGGGGTTTATGCAGAAGGAGAAGCAGGACTTCAACGAGATCTTTGCTCCCACTGCCAAACCCCCTACCCTCCGTGTCTTGTTGGCAGATGCAGCTGTTAGTGGGAAATTCATCATTCAGATGGATATTTCAACAGCATTCCTGAATGGGATTTTAGAGGAGGATGTGTACATGACGCAGCCGCCTGGGTATGAGGATGGTACGGGCAGGGTGTGCAAGCTCAACAAGTCCATCTACGGCTTGAAGCAGGCGCCACGCTGCTGGTACCAGAAGTTGGCAGCTGTTTTAGAGGAGATGGGATTCAGGACCAGCAGCTGTGATGAGAGCCTCTTTCTCAAGGGCGAGGGGGAGAAGCTGGTGCTGTTTCTGGTCTATGTGGACGACATTCTTCTCTTCAGCAGCAGCATGAAGGAGATCCAGAAAGTGCAGCAGCAACTAATGGAAAACTTCAAGTGCAAGAACCTTGGGGAGGTAAAGTACTACCTCGGGATGCACGTGGAGAGGGATCCAGATCACAGGTGGTTGAAGCTGCACCAGGAGAAGTTCATCAAGGAGCTGGGGGAGAAGTATGGGATTGAGAATGAGCGCAAGGTTGCAACTCCCCTGCCAGCAGAATTCAAGCTTGTGAAGGCTGCAGAGGATGAAGGGGTTGAAGCTGAAGAGCAGCAGCAATTCCAGTCCTTGGTGGGCAGCCTCTTGTACGCAGCAGTTCACACGAGGCCCGACATCTCTTTCTCGGTTGGGCAGCTGGCTAGGGTGGTACAGAATCCATCAGAGGAGCAGGTGGATGCAGCTGAGCGTGTGGTGAAGTACCTGAACTCTCACCCAAGCATTGGAGTTCAATACTCCGCATCTGCACAGGTGAAGCAGAAAGGGGTGGAGGTGCTGAAAGAGAAGGGGGAGAGGCTTGGAGAAGGCAAGCTATTTCTCACTTGCTTTACCGATGCTACGTGGGCTTCTGAGAAGGAGGATTCCTCATCTGTGGGAGGATACATCTGCGTAGTTGGGGGAGGACCTGTTAGTTGGAGGTCCAAGAAGCAGACGGAGACGGCACTCTCTTCCGTAGAATCAGAGTACATGGCGATGTTCCATGGGGTGAAGGAGGTGATTTGGCTGAGGAGGCTGTTAGAGGAGATTGGCCAGGAGCAGAAAGTTGCTACGCCGCTGTTTTGTGATAGCAAGGGGGCTCTTGGGATGGCCAGAAACGCTGTGCTTCATGGCCTGAACAAGCACATGCGTATCAAGTGGCACTGGCTGCGTAAGGAGGTGAAGAGGGGGACGGTGCATCCGATCTACATCAAGACTCACCAGCAGCCAGCAGACTTTCTCACCAAGAGGCTTGCGGATGAGCCTCATTGGCGTTGTGTGCGCATGAGTGGAATGAGCATGAACTAGCATGGAATGACGGGGATGCAGCCGGCAGGCTGAGGGGGAGTGTGTTGGGTGCAAATGCACATTGCACGACATCCTGCCGTCTGTTTGTACGAGTATGCGTGTGCGAATGCATTTGCGTGTGAATGGTGTGTTCGTGTGTTTGTTTGTTTTCGCAATTTTCGCTTGATGCATTTGCAGGTACTCGCGCAATGTGCGCTTCGGCACAACATTGTACGCGCTATGAACAGTGCAAGCAGAAAGGACGAGCTCGCAAAGGAACCCAAGATGGAAGCTTTGCAGTTCGGTTGAGTTGATTGCGCAGATTCAGTTCTATCCAACTCGAAATTGTACTGTTTTGTTTGGTTAACTATAGTGTAGCAGGGAAGGCACTATAGGGGTACAATTTAGGTGAAGGTTGGATGTTGTTTGTCTGTATCTGCATGCTACAAGGCCAGGGGAAACCAGCGGAACCAGCATTTGGCTGGTTGGGCAAAGACAAAACAGGTTCTGTTTTTAGAACCTGAACCTGGTTGTTGTTTTCCCAGGTTGGAAAAACAGAACCAGAGGTTGTTTACCAACCTACCACCTGCTATTTTGTCCAGCCTGGTTGGTTCTGTTGCTTGGAATTATTTGGGATCATCCCTGGTTGTTCCCAGGTTGATTCCCAAGGTCCTTGCTAGCTAGAACTATTTAATCCTTCTCTGTTTGTACCTGAATATAGTCAAATTGATTCATGTGAATTCCTTCCTCGCTGGAATTTCGTTTCTACGCGGTTCGTTGGCGGAATGCTACCCGAGTCAACGCTAGTACGCTAGCACTCTAATGCTAGGCAAACACCGTCTGAGCCATAACTTCGTAATGGCAGAACTTTTCGCGAGGCAACTTGGCTCATTTTAAAGCTCTTGGAGCGAGCTTCGATATAGCGAATTCTCAGCTTAATCCGATCGACGGTCTGCACGGCACGCTGCGCTACGTTCAAGGTACTCTTGCTGTTTTGACTAAGTCCTTCTTGATCCCTCTCTCTACAAACTCGGACCCGAGGATAGGGGCTGGTCTTGTACCAGGCACCCAGGGACCCTTGGAGGTGACCCCGAGGAGAGGTTTTAAGTTTGATTAAGTCCTAATAGCTTGAGTTTATTAGGCCCTTACACCAACATGTTCTTGTTGTGGCCATACCTGTAGATTTCCCAACCAGGTGAATCCGACTGCACTTGCATACAGGCGAAAGGAATAATTGCAGACCCGGGGGTGTGGCCTCTGCGATACAAAACCCACATCAAACCGCCTAACGGCAAACAAAGGGAATCATCAAGGTAAGAAAAGCAGCATACCGTTCCGGGGGCCCGGCCTTTGCCGCAGGGGATCCCAAGCACTTGCACGAGCAGAGCAAAGACGGGCATGCCACAGAGCGGGCTCTGGCTGCCTCTCTTCTTGCCCCCGCTCCCTCTCACCACCGCTCCAGCCTCCGCAAGCCCTGCTTTGCTCTTGGCATTGAGAGTGACGAGGTACTGGAAGGCCCGCGAGGGCGAGTTGCCCTGCGCGCATGAGGCGCCAAGGGCATTGCGCAGCTTGGAGACGGAGAGGAGCGGCACGGCGGAGAGGTTGAAGAGAATGCTGTAGGCCATTTCCACGCTGCCCACCACCGCGTACGCCCAGCAGTCACCTTAGAGAGAGGAGTGGGGGGAACGGAATCCGGGTGAGGATGAAGTGATGGGAAGTTAGAGTGGGTTTTCTAAGCGTGCCCAGCAGTTAGCTGGATGTGAAAGTGGGAGGCGGCACGAGGGACGAGGGGAACGATGGACACACCTGCCCTCTCAAATTATTCAGCTCATAGGTTTCTTCTTTACTTGTGACAACGCGAGAGAGAACCCTCCGATACCCTCCCATCCCCTCCCATCCCCTCCCATTCCCTCCCATCCCCTCCCATCCCCTCCCATCCCCTCCCATCCCCTTCCATCCCCTTCCCTCCCTCCCCTCCACTTCCCTCCCCTTCACTCCCCTCCCCTCCCTTCTCCTCACCTCCCCTCCCCTCCCCTCTCCTCACCTCCCCTCCCATCCACTCACCACCCCTCCCCTCCCCTCCCCTCCCCTCCCCTCCCCTCCCCTCCCCTCCCCTCCCCTCACCTCCCCTCCCTTCCCCTCCCCTCCCCTCCATCACCTCCCCTCCCTTCCCCTCCCCACTCCCCTACCCTCCACACAACTACCCTCCCCACACCTTACCTCCCCTTCCTTTTTCTCCCCCCTCGTCCCTTCCCCTGCCCTCTCCACACCCCGCCCCCATGCTCTCACCGCAGGCGCCCTGGTTGTGGACGGGCCATGGCAGCCCCTGGTCGGCCCAGGAGAACGCCTGCCTCACAGCCCACACCTCCTCCTCGCCCGATCCGCCTCCCCCTCCCCCTCCTCCGCCTGCGGGCTGCACTGCGTGCATGCCCACACTGGCGTAGCGGAAGAACAGGTTCGCCCCCACTGGTGCCAGCGATGCCTCACTCATCTGCAGCCCAAATTGCTGGCCTGGTGGGGCAGTCGGAGAGGGGAGGGGACGGTGGGGTAGAGTAGAGTAGGGTAGGAGAGGGTAGAGTGGTCGGGGTGGCGCAAAATGATAGATCATGCATGGGGAAAAGGGAAAGGAAGCACACGACTTGGGGGGCACAGTGTGTGCAATAGGGGGGAAAAAGAGGGTAATATGGAGGAAAGGCTGAAGGAGGGTGGAACTGGTGAAAGATTGGCGAGAGAGGACTTGGGGAAGAAATGGATGACGGAAGGGAGGCGAGAAGGACGAGAACCAAGCGACTAAAATGGAAGGTTGTGGATGTGGATAGGAGAGAAGCCAACTCAAGTAAGTTGTACTTGTAAGAGTGGTTGATTCCGGAAGGCCTGAAAAAAGAGTAAGAAACGGAGAAAGAGAGAGAGAAGTGAAGTGAGGCAGGGCATAGAAATAAATTCTCTGGACACTGTAACGTGCGAAGGAACTGTAACAAGCATCGAGGATGTAACACACACATTTGAACTCGAGCATCGAGGCATGGTAGGGAGCGATGTTGAGTGAGCCATTCCCGGTGAGAGACCCAAGCATGGATGAATCATCCGACACCAATGAGAGAACAGAGACCAACTAATGCGGAGCAGCACGCAGGGAGGGAGGATGCGACAGCAGTGGGCAGGGGGAGCAGCAGTAAGTACCTGTGGTGATGTTCCACTCGAGGATGGAGTGTTGCTGCGGGGAGTGTGAGGAGGAAGCAGTGAAGCCCATGAGGAACGATGCCTCAGCTGCACTGGGCTGCAGGAACTTGCACAGAGACACCTGCATCGCCACCACTGCCTTGCCCAGCCGGGGGGACCCCATGGCCGACAGAAACACCCGCAGCCACCCCGTGCTGCCGCCGCTGCTGTTGCTGCTGCCATAGCTAGCGCTGCCACTAGCAGCACCGCCAGAGGAGGAAGGAGAGGGTTCGAAGACGATCCAGGCTTGCTTTGGCTTGCCGTCGTTGAGAGTGAAGGGCGCTTTGGCTGTTGCGATGGAAGAGGTGTTGCCCCTCATACTGAATCCCACGTGGTTGCTGTCTGGATCTTTGGCAACGGTGCTCTTAAAAGTGTCAAACTCCACGGCTATGCTGCGCTCATCCATGCCTGCATACCCCAAGCTGCCGCCGCCACCACTGCCGTCGCTGCTGCCGCTGCTACCACCTGTAGCAGCGTCACTGGCAGCAATTACAAACGCAAACCCATCGCCTGCGGCACCTGCTGCTGTGGCTGCTGCCCTGCTGACAGTGGCTGGTTTGAGAATGGAGAAGGAGAAATAGACGGTGAAGGCCAAGGGGCGGCCGCAGGCACCGGCCTTGAGGGAGAAGGAGAAGAGTGGGATGGGCAGTTGGAGGAACGCTGCACCCCACGTGTTGGGCTGTGAGGCTGTGAGCGTGATGCGGCCGTTGCTTGCCACTGCCGCCCGCCCCTTCACTGCTGTCTGTGCTGCTGTCGGCTGCACGGTTACTGGGCCGCCCTCCTGGCCTGCTGGTGGTGGAGGAGGCGAGGGCAGGCGGTAAGCAGGCAGAAAGGCACAGGTCGTGGCTTAGAAGCAGGGCTTTGAGAGGTCTGCGGTACGAGACAGCTTTTCAGGCGCCTCAAGAGCAGGGGAATGAAAGCTTCTCGACACTTCCAACTAGCTTCAACTCACAGCCTAACAAATTAGCACCGTGGCGATTTTCAGGGTGCCTAACAAATGAGCACCTGGGCTGCACAGTGAATGGGGGGAGAAAGGGACCTCAGGATGGCAGCATATGATACATATACACTGGCGGCCCTTTTGGCCTGGTGCGGGTTGGCAGCATACGTGGGTGGTGCATATGTGAATGGAGGAAATTAAAACGTTCACAACAAGCTGCCCGACTGTTGGAGTCACTTTTGAGAGTTCCAACAAACGACTCTGAAACAGTTAGGACGAGCTACCTGGCCGTATTTTCTAGAACTGTCTTTGCGTAGGAGACGTGAGCTGGAAGGATTCACAAACATGTAGTTGGTTTCCCACAGCAGACATAGACATCCACACAACCCACACAACCTACACAACCCTCGCCTCACTTCCCTCTCCCCTGTTCTGTTCCCCTGTAGCCCCCTTCGTCCCCCCTCTTCCTGAAACTCACTTCCTTCAGGGACGCAGCTTCTAGGCAGCTCCCCGTTGGCAAGCCCAGACCCGCAGTCACACGTGGGCACTCTGTTGGGCCCGTCCACATAGCACAAGCCATGCCCGCCGCATGGAGGATCGCCTGCAGTCATGCCACAAAACACACCACAGAGCTCCTCTGGCCGCTGCACCGCTGCATCCGCAGCAGAGGTCGTGGCAGGCGTGGGGCAGGAGTAGCCGTCAGTGGGGGTTGGGAGGCAGTTGAAGCGGAAGGAGATGGTGCTTTGGGAGCAGTTGGGCGGAGAGGAGAAGCCTGAGGAGAAGTAGTTGAGGTCGAGATTGTAGACGGTGACTGTTGATGGGATGGGCTGCAGTAGGGGGCCTGTCAGCTGGTTGTTGCGCAGGTTGCTGAGAGGAAGGAGGGAGGGAGGTGAAGGAAGAGAGGAGGAAGGGGAGAGGAAGAGAGGAGGAAGGGGAGAGGAAGAGAGGAGGAAGGGGAGAGGAAGAGAGGAGGAAGGGGAGAGGAAGAGAGGAGGAAGGGGAGAGGAAGAGAAGAGGAGGAGAGGAGGAGAGGAGGAGGGGAGAGGAAGAGAGGAGGAAGGGAAGAGGAAGAGAGGAGGAAGGGGAGAGGAAGAGAGGAGGAAGGGGAGAGGAAGAGAGGAGGAAGGGGAGAGGAAGAGAGGAGGAATGGGAGAGGAAGAGAGGAGGAAGGGGAGAGGAAGAGAGGAGGAAGGGGAGAGGAAGAGAGGAGGAAGAGGAACAATGAACCTTCTTTCTTAGCAGGAATGGAGGCAAATCAGATAGATTTGCAGCCATTGGAGGGGGGGAGAGGGGCGGGGGGAGGGGAAGCAATGGATGGGAATGCGAGGAGGCCAGTAGGCTACCGGACGCACAGGAGAGTGAATAGGGTTGTGCAGGGCGGACGCACAGGAGAGTGAACGGGGTTGTGCAGGGCGGACGCACAGGAGAGTGAATGGGGTTGTGCAGGGCGGACGCACAGGAGAGTGAATGGGGTTGTGCAGGGCGGACGCACAGGAGAGTGAATGTGGTTGTGCAGGGCAGACGAATAGGAAAGTGAATGGGGTTGTGCAGGGCGGACGCACAGGAGAGTGAGGTGGACAAGGCCGGTGTACTCAGTGGGGATGGTTCCATGTAAACGGTTGTTGCTCAGGTCGCTACATTGGGAGAGAAAGGAGACAGCAAGGTACAAGTAGGTGAGAGAAAAGAGATTTAAGTGAGGCTAGGAGAGTTGAGGCGGCAATCAGACATCTCAACATTGGAAACATGGTATAAAGGGGAAAATAGACCTCATTACAAGCAGCACAGCACTGCTGTGACTACTGCTGAACAGAATCAAGTGTTGGTGTTAGCCCCCAATCTTTATTTTTGTACTTGTAGTTCTATATAATATAGATTAGTGTAGTTTTTAGTTTGTGCTGGTTCGGTGTACACTCACATCCCAACCTCGTCCAAGTGTAATCAACCGAAGTTCCCAGCCCACCAAGGGAGATTTCAGCCAATATCCTTGGGATTTTCTCCCCTTCCATTCCTTGCTCTTTTCCAATGCACTCGAGTGCCTTGGACTCATTGTCTAATGCTGATCTTCAAGCTCAGGTTTTGAGGGGTATTGCTGTAGCAACGAGAATTAGCAGCATTAGTGGTAAAGGCCCATCGTGGATAAAAGGAAGAAACAGAAGCAAGTGTTTGATGTCACCGCTATATCTCTTGTTCGCAACTCAACCAGTAAAGGCCATGCTTTGTTGGCAAGCGGACGTCCAGCGCAGAATCTTTAAAAAAGAAACAGTGCTGTGCAAGCAAAAAAGATGTATGTGTGTAAGGTATATACTCAATGTTCTGTAGGAAAGACTAAGTTGTGTAGGAAAAACTATGTTGTGGAGCTAGAGGCACGCGGATTACTTACATGGCTCGCCCTGCATGGTTCACTCTGTTAAAGTAGGCTAGTCTTTGTTCCTAGACTGAACACGCCCTAGGTTCAGTTGGGGTTTTCCCAACCAGCTCTATAATCTTGTACTCCTGTTTATCAAGTCAACTCTTTGCCAAACTCTCTCACCATCCATGGCTACCCTATTTTCTCTCTTAACACACTCACATGGCTTCTAGCTTAAATAGTCCTCCGAGAAGAGTAGGCAGAGTGCCACTGATCTGGTTGCAGCAGAGGTTGCTGCAGGGGTGCAGAGTGAGGGGAGAGGGGGTGCACACATGGGGGAGTTGGGCAGTCGGAAGGAGGATGGGAAGGTGAGTCGGGCCAAGGACAGATGAAAATTCACGCAAGCGCATAGCTGAAACGGGAAAAGAGTGCAAGAATGGCACATTTCAAACAGAGGGGAGTGAGAGAAGGGGGATTGGGATGGAGCGGGTCTGGTGAGTGGGGAGAAGTGGGGAGAAATGAGGGGTATGGGGGAAAGGAAGTGAGATGGAAAACTGCTAAACGGCATGGGAAAAATTGAAGGGTATGGGAAAGCAAAAAAAAAACAGCATAAAGGAGTGGGAAGAGAGATGGGAAAGGGACGTATTGTTGAAAGAGATTGTTGTTGTAAGGGCTGGAGGGGAGGGGGGAGGGGGGAGTGAATGTTGGGTAGTAAGAAGATGAAAAATGGAGACGGAGAGCAGGGGGACAAAGAGAGCAGGTACAGGGGGCATCGACAGGGCGTGAGGATTGGTGATGGGGCCTGACATGGCTTCGAGATTAGCGAGATTGGAGTACTCAGCAGGTATAGATCCGGTCAACTCGTTGCCACTCAGGTTGCTACCATGAATGAGGTGGTGCCCAAAGGGGAGGGGGGTGAGAGGGCGGAAAGGCAGAGGGGAAGGAAGGCGGGCGGGAAGGGGGAATGGAGGGGGATGGACGGGGAGACGGGAGGGAATGTGAACCTGGAGGGGGGGTTACAAGAAAGTGGAAGAAAAAGAGAGGCTACGAAGGGAGAGAGAGAATGCAACGCACTTTGCTGTAGATGTGAGCTCAGAGAGGGAGGCTGCATGAATGAAGTACAAAGGACCCAGAAGGATGGGAGCCCTATGAGAATGACGGGTCCCTGGAAGCACATGCTACATGCGAAGTGGAGCCTCAGACATGCCCATAGCAACTTTTGAGGCGCCTCAAAGTCAACATGCGGAGTGGAGTGAAGCCTCTGACGTACCCCTAGCAGAGTGGCAGAAGCAGAGGAAAGGGCGTGCGGGAGAGGGCAGTGGTGCAATGCAGCACTCACAGGGCCTTGAGGGTAGTTATGCTGCCGATGCTGGTTGGCAGGGGGCCGGTCAGGTCGTTGTGGCTCAGATCACTGGGAGTGAAGGTAGAGAAGGGTGGATTGGATGGGGTGGGGTGTTAGGTGGAATGGAAGGGACGTGATGCAACAAAAGGAAGATGGTGGGTGGGAGCAGTGGGAACGCATGCACATAGCAACAGACACTCAGTGTGGCATGACATGACATGGTGGAGTCTGGAGATGGTTTGGAAAGCCACCATTTGTTTAACATGGATGGCATGGCATGGCATGATACATGACAGCAGAAGCCATGGCATGAGATGTGGCATGGTATGGCATGGTATGGCATGGCATGGCATGGTAAGGCTGATACAAGAGCACGTGAAATAGCACACGGAGCAGCAACAAGTAGGCGTACAGGTTGGTGATGGCATTCAAGGCTGTGAGCTCTGCAGGCATGGTCCCTGATAGCTGGTTGTAGCTCAGGTCCCTGCCGTGCACAGGTGCAGTGGTGGTTGGGGAGGGAGCCACATGTCTATCTAACTGCATGCAGTTGTGCTTGTCATTTCTGCGATGGAATGGCACACCATGGCACGATTGTGCTTACTCCATACAGACTTTTGCAATGCAAGTTTTGCTACGCACACAAATTATACAGCTCCGCTTGCTTGGCTTGCTTGGTTGTTCATGTGTGAGTCTAGTCAAGAGGTTATATCAGAAACCACTGCGTACTTGGGATGCAAGCGGTGGGATGCTTACAGCTTCTGTAGGTTGGCATTCCACACAATGAATTCTGCTGGAACGGAACCAGTGAGAAGATTGTTGGAAAGAGAGCTGGAGAAAGAAGCAGAGAGGCAGAGAGACAGAGGAACTAGCAATGGAGAGACCAGGCAGAGAGACGGGGCAAGCAGCAGGTTGACAGGGTGGGATGCGAGAAGCGGCAAGATGCGATGCAGCGGGAAAGACATTTGCTTGGTGCGAAACATGCTGCAACAAATATTCCCAGTATCCAAGAGATAGCACGAGAAGACCATTCTGTGCCTTCCACGATAGGGAAGGATGAGGGATGATGGTGCTAGGAGTCCAGTGAAGGGATAGCATGTGAAATGCAGCGAAAGAAGTGCAGTGAGGGGAGAGCATACAGTTGCTCAAGATTGGTTAAGTTGGATGGAACAAGTGTGCCTGACAAACGGATGAAGCTCAGGTTTCTGTGAGGAGAGAGTGAGAGGGAGAGAATGAGAGATAGTGGAGGGGTAGGAGGGGTGGAAAGAGCATCCGTGAGGTTGCTAATTTGAGTCTTTGGAACCTGGCAGAGGCATTGGAAAGGGACGGAGGGAAGATGAGGGTATGAACACATGAGGATATGAACACATGAGGATATGAACACATGAGGATATGAACACAAGAGAGGACATTAGGGCATGAGGGAAGCACATGAATAATCACGAAAATGTCACAAGACCAGTGAAGGATAGTGGGCTAACTAACAGGTAGGTGAGTTTGACGAGGAGGGAGAGGGATGAAGGCACGGAATCTGACAGTTGGTTGTGACTCATGTCCCTGTGGCATAACAGGCACGGCATGGCATGCCATAATGTGGTGCTGTGTCGTGTCGTGTGGTGTAGTGTGATGCGGCGTTGTGTGGTGTGTTGTGGTGCATTGTGGTGTATTGTTGCATGGCATGACATGGCATGGCACGCCATGGTAGCAGGTAGTCACATTGGTAACAAAAAGAGTAGAAGAGACAAATCATAAAATGAAACAGACGAGGAGAAGCAGGTGCTTGTGAATCAACTGCAATACAAATAGAAGAGAAAGCACTTGATCGAAAAAAGCACATCCCCGCACAACCATACTCCAACAAGCCCTCTCTCAGCTATCATGTGGCTCCACGCACAGTCTGATCAGATACACCAGTGAACGTGCCAGTAGCTTGCGTCACTCCAGCATGATCCACAGAGGATCCAAAGAGGATTCAAAGAGGATCCAAAGAGGATCCAAAGAGGATCCAAAGAAGGTCCAAAGAGGATCCAAAGAGGATCCAAAGAGGATCCAAAGAGGAATCAGCAGAGCTAGAAATGAAGGCAAAAAGGGATTCTAAGGGGTTTCGCACACTCACAGGTGAAGTGTGTTGGATAGGGGGGCAATAAGTGGCTCTGGTATGGAGCCTGAGAGAAGGTTGGACGACAGGCTTCTGAAGGGGGGAATGGGTTGCAGTGCGGTGGTGAAGGGTGAGAGTGGTTGGTCGGGAGGGATATCAGGGATTGGGAACGATGAGCGTGGAATGATACAATTATATGTTGTGAGATGGGTTGGGATGCAGAGTGATTGACTGGATGGGGTGTGGTGGAGCAAGATGCGATGGGATGGATGGGATGCAGCCCAACACACCACATTACCACATACTGACAGGAAGCCACACACAAGATACCGCATGGTGACAGGGAGATACATATGCTAGCACCTCGTAGCAAAATGCGATAGTCCAATAGAACCCCACTTAGGAGGCGTATCTTTGCGTGGCAACGGCATTGTTTAGTTAAAATTTTTGAAGTTGTAGTAGGGCTTGCTTAGAGACCTTTGTAAAAAATTCGTGGTAACTAGTTTCGGCTTTGAGCCTTCATCAGACCACAAAGGCACGAATGAGCAAGCAAGCACCCTAAATACCAATCCCGGAGGCTCCAGCGCGAGGCATTCCTTCGCGGGGCTGGGATGGCAGGGAAAAGCTAGATAGAACAGTAGAAAAACTACTCTACAGTAAACTAGCACTTATGAGCAGAAATTAAAAAATTACCTACTCTTTTAGGTAACCTCCAAGCAATGATACTTCTTCGTGTAGAAAAAGTAACTCTTGAACATCACCCATCTGAGAAGACGAATGATGACTGGTGCCAGCGGGTGCCTCTCCTTTTGAAGGAAAAAAGCGACAGCGTCTATCCCGTCCCATAAAGGAATTGGAGGGTAAAGTGACTCTACGTCATAGGAAGCCAGCAGCAGATTAGAAGGGAAGGAGCGCTTCTCGAGATGTAGGATAAGGCTTTGAGAGTCCTTGACATACGTCGGCTGTTTCAGAACCAGCGGCCTGAGGACGGAATCTAGCCAGCGAGAAACGTTAGTAGTGATCCAGGAATGGCAAGCCGCGATAGGCCTACCAGCAGGAACTTTCTTATGGATCTTCAGCAGCACATAGAAAGCAGGAATCTTCCAGCCGTTCTTAGGTTGAAGAAAGAAAGAGTCCCAAACCCTGGATTTAATGAGACAGCTCCATTCTGAGCGAATAGTATGTAGTTCTTGTAAAATAGTAGAAATCGGTACCGAGGGATACTCTTTGTAGACCTTGTCATTAAGTAGATGCTTCAGGCATTGATCCTGATAGTAGTCTCTGCTCATAACAGTTAGTCCAAGATTTTTATCCGCCGGTTTAAAGATGAGATTAGGATTCTTCGCCAAACGTCGTAAAGTCGGAAGCACGTTCTTCGATTTCCGGGTTAAGGAAGTGAAACTTTGACCAGCAACTTCTTTAACGGCTGCTTCTTTAAACACCGCCAGCGCAGATTCAATTTCAGGTGAGGCTGGTGGAGGGTCCCAGTTTGTTCTCTTAGGTAGCTTGTACCCTGAGTAACCGAAAGAGTCAGATCCATTAAAGAGGTACATGGTGCGAACACTCCTAAAGAAATCAGAGATCTCAGCTTCAAAGCTAGCGACAGTGCGAACAACAGGTACAGGAATGAATTTCAATCCCAGGCTTAAAAGGTTAAGTTCTTGTCGAGAGAAAGAATGATCACTGTAATTGTGGATACCGCGGTTGGTGACACGGCATTGCAGCTGGTATTCTTGTTGGGTGCAAATGCACATTGCACGACATCCTGCCATCTGTTTGTACGAGTATGCGTGTGCGAATGCATTTGCGTGTGAATGGTGTGTTCGTGTGTTTGTTTGCTTTCGCATTTTTCGCTTGATGCATTTGCAGGTACTCGCGCAATGTGCGCTTCGGCACAACATTGTATGCGCTATGAAGAAAGGCATGGGCAAGGCCATGTTCAAGGGTGCTGATGGGAAGATGATGGGCCTCAAGAACATGTTTTGGATGCCCAGCCTTGCTGCGAACCTGATTTCCGTGCGGCGATTGGCAAAGGCTAGCATGGACACGAACTCGAAGGGAGCCAAGACCTACACCGCAAGGATTGGCGACCGGATTCTTTGGGACCTTCATGAGGATAGGGACGTCTACAACGAGATGTGGCAGATCCTTATGGTTCCCATACCTAAGGAGAGGCAAGTGGCAGCAAGCGTCAGCACCAAGGGTGAAGCGGTTGGTAGCGGCGATGGCGCGAACGGCAGCGCCAAGGAGAACGAGCTCAAGAAGAGCAAACCTGGAGTGACCAGCAAGCACGGTGACCCTAAGGAGAGTGGTGCAGCAGCCAAGGAGCAGCACAAGGGTGAGAAGACCCCCGAGGCAGCAGCGAAGGAGGA